ATTGGTTCTTACCAAGCCTACAAACGGGACCACCTACCACGGCTGACCAACGTCTACAGGGCTGACCAACGTCTATTCAGCAGACATCCAGGAATTCAAACCAACGTTTGCCTATTGAACAGTGCCTAAAGTGTGTGTGTGTGTGTGTGTAAAATTGACAATACACACTTTGACATCATCACATTTATATATTTTAGAATTTATTTTTTAAACCAGTGATCCAGATTTTGACAACATCAATGTTGTCAAGTTCAATTGTTAACAATTGTACAAATAGCATTATTCATAATTAATGCGCCAGACCAAAATGGTACAAAAATAAGGGAGCAGTTTAGCAACCTTAAGCAACTCCAAAGTACTAAATAAATAGTACAGGAGTATTTAACATTACAAAAAAATAAAAATAATGGTATTAATATATAATCGAACCACAATTTTTGTTAGTTGCATTGTGTTCTAATTTATATTTAGATCCTCAACCTTTTATAATATTTATGTCACTTACTTCTTTTCGACGAATTCTTATCTTCAATCTTTCATTATAATAGCATAGTTTGCCCTTGATGAAGATTCTTTTCATAATATTTTATTTGCGTGCATTGTAACGAGGGAAAAATATTATATCGTACTTTTGTATCTAATGGACAAATAAGTCATTTTATGCCCTCCAAACCGACTTTTTGGATAAAAACACTATTTGGCATGATATGTTTTAATTAATGGAAAATTGAGAATAAGAATACATAAATGTTATAATGAGCAAAGATTATAATTAAAATGTGTTACGTAACTAATAAAATTCCTGGAGTGTATGTAATTAATTACCTTAATGCTATATGGATATTCCTAATTCACCCTTCAATTTTAGCTATATTTCATTTTTACCCTGCTTTTTTTGGTTTCAGCTATTTGACTTTGCGGACAAATACGGGGGCAAATATGACAGTAGCATTACCTTGGCACAGAAGTACTACCGATCTGTTAGTGGATATGCTGTCTGTGAATTGTGATCCCATCCCTTCTGTCAAAATTATAATTTAAGTTTTTGGATCCGACCCAAGTTGGGGAAAAAAAATTGCAAAATATAAAATTGGACAAGAGGGTTCTAGACGGGTTTTAGTGGAGACTGATTTTGTAACTTTGTCTAAAGTTGGGGATCAACTTGCTCTTTTTTAAAGGTTGAATACCAACTTGCTAATAGAGCAATACATTGGGGACCATTTGTGCAAATTTCACCAAAAATTATATGCATAATTTCTTTTATCATTAAAATATTGTTTCAATTTTTTAATTTTTTTTTTGGGCATAGGATGAATTGCTGTGGGCAGCAGCATGGTTGTACAAAGCATCAAACAATGAGTACTGCTTGAACTACCTAGGGAACAATGGTGATGCACTGGGTGGAATTGGTTGGGCCATGACTGAGTTTGGCTCGGATGTGAAATATGCTGGTGTTCAGACATTAGTTGCCAAGGTAAATTTATTCAAAATATGCCGCTTTTTACAAATTTGCTTTAAGTTACTTAGTTTGTCAAACATGATTTTAAAAAATAAATTTTGAGCGCAATCGAACTTGTTCTTTTTTCTAACTTTACTCACGAGGGACATCAATGTTCTTTATGCTAACCTTGGCAGCTTAAACTAAATCAAATTTGTCTTAAAATGCATTTCAGAATTGAATGAAATCAATTCTTAGTTCAGTTTCCAAACTTAACAGAAAGGTTTATTGTAGTTATTGTAGAGACGAGATGATTTATCGTGGTATCAGATATCAAATTAGACAAATATATCAAAATCAAGTCAAACATCTTTTTGGCGGGGTGGTTTAACAACTCGCAACACTGAAATATCATTTCTTATAACAGGATTCAATGTGCTATATTAGAACTTCTCTAATAACTAATTTGAATGTCATCTTTTTGCAGTTCCTAATGCAAGGAAAAAGGTGGACATTACACACCAGTGTTTGAAGAGTACCAGCAAAAAGCCGAGTACTTTATGTGCTCATGCCTTGGAAAGGGCTCCGCCAATGTTCGAAAGACTCCGGGAGGACTCATTTTCCGGCAGAGGTGGAACAATATGCAGTTTGTAACAAGTGCTTCATTCCTCCTCACTGTCTACTCTGATTATCTGTCCTCTGCCGGAAAGTCCCTCAAGTGTGCTTCTGGTTATGTTCCACCCTCTGAACTTTTCTCTTTTGCTAAATCTCAGGTACAACTCTCCTCTGAATATGAATGACTCTTCAGTATAGTATAAGATTAAACACTAAAATGCCTTGTGTTCGTTTTTGTCCACTTCACGTCGCCCAACTAATATCCCCCTCCACCTCGGAAGGAGTATAATTCCGGCAATGACAAACATCAAGATTTTCTCCCTTGATAAAGCCTTTGTCCTCAGTTTTTGTTCTCTCCGAACATCATAAGTTTGGAAAACTGACAACGGACTACTCTATTGTGTGACTCTCCATTGTTCAAAGCAAGACAAGATTAAACAACCAAGCTCATACCCACCTTATTGCGAAAAAATTTTCCTTCTGATTTTGGTCCTGAACTTGGTTTTGAACTGTGTGGAGCTTAATCATATTGTTCAATTATACCCAAGGTGAAATGGAGTATATTGAATGATAATCATGAGGTTGAATTAACAAGCAGAAAGAATCTAATCTTGTTTTTTATCATGTAAGGTTGATTACATTCTTGGAGACAACCCAAGAGCCACAAGTTACATGGTGGGGTATGGAAACAACTACCCACAAGAAGTTCACCACAGAGGTTCTTCAATAGTCTCCTTTAAGGTAGACCCTTCATTTGTTAGTTGCCGAGGAGGGTATGCCACTTGGTTCAGCAGGAAGGGAAGCGACCCGAATCTCCTTACCGGTGCACTTGTTGGAGGACCTGATGCTTATGACAACTATGCTGATCAAAGAGACACAACTATGAGAAAACTGAACCTGCTACCTACAACAACGCCCCCCTTTTGGGCTTATTAGCAAGGCTACATGGTGGTCATGACGGGTACAACCAGCTCCTTCCAGGTATGTTTAGTTCAAATGTTCAATGACTTCATGTTTGCAAATCTGAAGTTTTATCTAGTGTTCGCTTACAAGACTTGAATACTTATGCATTGTCTCTTCAGTGAAACTTCCTGCATTTAAACCGGTTAAAAATCAGATTAAAGCAGCTCCAAAACTTGAAATAACACCAGCTACAGGTAACATTCTGCTGTTTCTTGAAGGTGGTTCATTTTGGATTGGAATATTAGAAAATGGATTGATTTGATTTTCATTCTATTCATCGCTCTTGCAAGAAGGGATTAGTTCATAACCCCTGACAGAATACACTTTTGGTACACATTGGAGCAACATGTCTTTTTGAAAGGATACGTCTAATGTGACAAAAACCATTTTGCAGCTTCATCTGCCAGTCCTATTGACATTGCACAAAAGGAGACAACTTCATGGCTTGCGAAAGGAAAAACTTACTACAGATACTCGACAATGGTAACCAACAAGTCTAGCAAGACCTTGAAAATTTTGAAGCTTTCGATTTCCAAGCTCTACGGTCCTATATGGGGTCTCATGAAGTCCAGTGATTCTTACTCATTCCCAGCACGGATCGACTCATTGCCTGCAGGAAAAAGCATGGAGTTTGTGTATATTCACTCTGCTTCTCCAGCAGAGGTCTCAGTCTCAAGTTACGCTCTCGTCTAAGATCAGGAAAACTAGAGACTACGTAAAGAAGTTCACAGCTTATGTGAATTCATAGTGCAAGAATTGTGCAGCTATACAAGATTTAGTCTTGAAAGTCTTCTGCATTTTTTTTTTTTTTTTTTTTTTTAACTTGCTATAAGTTTCGATTGCCAGTTAGTTTGTGATACCAGTAGGTCAAAGATTGGACGAAGAAAGGAGTGAAGAGAGGCTATAAAAGGGTGCTCATCCAGTCATCCTCTTTCTTCTCTTCTTTATTAGCCATAGATAGATTGAGAAAGAGAGAGTCGTCATAAAAAGAGTGCATTCCCTCTGTGTTGTCACGTTGTAAACTTGACAACGTTTCTCATTTGCAATACGGGTATAGTTTGTCCAAATTATGTGTTAGTTGCTTTTGTATTGTTCTATATAAATTAGTATTCTCTTAGTGTTTCGAGAAATTTCATCAATCAGTCCCTAACTTTATATATTTCTCCACCATTTACTTTATAATTCTCCACCATTTACTTTCATTTGCATATTTCCCCTTTTTTTACATTATTTCATTTACTTTTGCCTTAATTTCTTCCCCTTAAAAAGGGTAACGTAGTCAAAACATTACATTTAACACTTAATCATTGTAGACCTAGAGATCATACTCTCAATTTGAAGGTACAATGTAACTCTTCATCACTCTGAATTGAAAGGGTACTTAGCTCTTCCACGACTGTGATGACGAAAATCAGCTATACGACGGTTTAGCCGAATCTAGAGTTGTGTACAATGCCATGAACCACCACTAGTTATTGGACTATTTCCTATGAAGGCCAAATAAAAGTCAAAATGCATGAAACTCTTCATATGGCATCTACCCATGTGTAATACATCGTATCTTGACAATGGTTTTTTGCATGACTGACTCTACTTACTAACGTTGAAATTGAAACAGGTCATATATTGCTTGTGTAAGAAACAACATTCACATGAATATCAAATAGTAAATAATATTAAAGAAAATAAATTCACTAAAATCAATCCACCCAATACGTGATCCCATGCATGCACTTATATGTTTGGATGTGAAGCTAAAGACGATTGCCAATTCGATTTCATGTAGTTCTCTTTCTTCATAGTTTTTATGCTACTTCACGACACCAAAGACTATTAGGAACTATCGACTATGAACCTGAAACACATCTTCACAATTATCGGCATAAACAAAATAACTTTCTAGCTTAAAAGTCACAGCTGGCGTTGTATCCAAAAAGAAAATAATCTAAACGTTTAATAATACAATGAAATTGAGACAATTTCAGTCGTTATTAACCATATGTACATCCAAAACGCAATTTTTTTTTTATTTTTTTTTTTGGGTTCTCGACAGGGCAGAGGAATGATGACAGGTAGACATGTAAAAGTGTTACAGAAATAAAATGTGACCCCAGAAATGGTGTTATAAAAGCATAGCAACTTTATGGTGATAGCCCATAAGAAAGTTCGTCCGAGAAGCCTGCTTATTTTGCATTCTTATACATGCTGTCAATAACATTCTGCAAAACAAAGTAACCGTCTTAGGAACATAGAAACGTTGCGCATCGTTGGGTAACATAAAATTTGGCTTGTAAATACGATAACACCAGCCAATATAGCTCTTTCATTTGGGTGGTAAGAATGGCAAGATACTCAGAAAATGTAGAAAGTTCCTACGTGCCTCGAGGATAACACCAGCAACTTTCAAGAAAAGAAATATTGCTTTGCAAATTCAAGTGAGTCCATTGTTGAATATCAATGGAGAGACAAAAAGGAGCATGGTGACCAGAGAAACCAAGCAGGTGGTGGGAATACATTTGCTGACACTTTTTGTTTTTTTTTTTTTTTTTTCCCCTTTAAGCCAAAAAAGGATGGCAATTTATTAAACCAGAAACAAAAGGCATCTCATCCGATTCAATAGAAGCTCAAAGAGGTGAATAGGGTCCCAAATAATGAGAGATATGTAAAAAGCAGGTCCGATTACTCTCCTTAGCCTGGTCATAGAAAATCTACCTGGTAGTACTTAAGCAGCTGGGGCCTTTTCTTCTTAAATGTCGGAGTGAGAAGGTCTCGTTCCATGTCAAATGGTTCCGGATCAAGGTGTACTGCTTTTATCAATTCAAAACCCTTTAACTGCAAAATATGCAATAGCAAAGCTTAGAGAAGCATTGAAACTTCCAAAACATTTTTCTTCTGCTATTCTTTCAGCAACTAGCACGAAAGACAGGTGCCATCAGAATGATTAAGAAGTCTACAATGATTGAATAAAGAGGTAAGAGGAGGAAAATACCTTCTTTTCCTTCGCAGTCTTTGAGAGCTCTCCAAGTATGTGTTCTTTCACTTTTGGATTCCGACAAAGGGCATTGAAGTCCCCAGATATACCATTCTGTTCCGCCCACCGTTCAACTGCTTGTTTGCTTGGGTTGATTACAGCTACAAGAAAAGACTCAAAGCTGTTCCCGTATATCCATATCTGCAGATTAATAAATGTTAAGGTGAGAAACAAAATCTCAATCGAGATAATGTATCAATACTCAAATGTCCATCACATTATTGCATTTTACATAGACCATTTCCTTATCTTCTTTTATTTTTCCCCTGCATGTCTGATTTGCAGATAGATATCATAGAGAAGAATTTGCAACTTGTATATGCATGTGTACATAATTGTGTATATGTATCAACAGTTTGACACACATACCGATTCAATATCGGGAACTAGACCATAAATATTCTCCAAGTTTTCCACGGCAACATATTCTCCTTGCGAGAGTTTGAAAATATTCTTTTTGCGATCAATAATTTTCAAGCTTCCATTTGGTTGCCACTCACCAATATCCCCTGACAAAAGAGATTTTTATCAAAATGAAGATGAAAAGACATTCGAAATACTGAACCTTAAATTGAACTAGTGACAGAACAAACCAACCTGTGTGGAACCACCCATCAGTCAAGACTTCATTTGTAAGGTCTTCACGTTTGAAGTAGCCGGAAAATAATGTATCTCCCCTTATGCATACTTCTCCACGTGGAGTACTTGAAAGGGCATTGTAATTCATTTCGGGAACAGATTCCAGGCGCACATCCACATTGGGCACTGGAGGACCTACTGTACCCAGCATGTCCATCTCATCTGGTATAGATACAAATGTACCAGCACAAGTTTCTGTCAAACCTATATCACAGTAGAGAAATCAAGTCAGATACCATCTAGAGCTGGAAAATACCTATTACAACTGCCAATCAATTAATTTCTAGGTTAAGGAAATCAGCATTACACCTACACAAACCTATGTACTACAGGCAACAATTTATGACATTTAAAAAAGAAAATCTATCCTTGTCCCTTAATCAAGAGTATCTTCCTGTTGGGCAATTCGTTGTCAAACGACCCCCAGGGCTGTGGTGTAACTCGGTATATTTTCTCAATCGACATCGACCAAATAACTGAACGATAAATCAATACCATAATGAAATAACCCGACCCCAAAACTGTTTGGACCATTTGAAGCAACCCAATTTAATTAGTACTGCTCATGGCCCGTTTCCACTTACCTAGATGGTTAACATTTGGAAACCCACCTAGCAGCATATTTACTTACCTATTGGGCTTGACCCATTACTGTACACTAATGATACCTATATATCTTGGGCTGCCTCGTCTCTTGGTCATATGAATTCAGTCTCTACCTCTTCTCTCTGTGTGAAAACAGGCGGCTCCCTCTGTGGTTTTCTATCTACTGCTTCCTTTCCACTGCCTTTGTGTTTACTTTTTCTTTATGATTATATCTTGCTGTGCACATCCTAAGTGGGTGAACAAGAAGCAACCGCAAGTGAAAAGCGGTTCGAGGGAGTTTTGGATTGATTTTCATATTGGTGTCGATTGTTAGAGATACTGAGCCTGTATAAACCCTTTGGTGATCTTCTCTTCCGCGCAACATCTGGTATTAGAGCTTCGTGTGAGCATTTTCGGGCTGGAAATCTACTGAACAGCATCCAAGCCAATTTCTCGAAGGGGCTGAACCTGAAAGTTTCGATCGAGACCCAGCTTCAGCAAGTGAAGGCACTCCTCCACGAGTGGCGCGTGGCAGTGGTGGCACGTGCATCTCCTGCGACGGCACGTGACGGCAACTCTGGACAAGCTTTCTTCAAACAGGTTGCTCGTTTTAATTTTCTAAACGTACTAATATAGTTAATTTCGTGTTTCAGGTTATACAAAAAAATTTGGATAATTTTGCCCTTGGATGCTCAATCTGCGATCATTGGTTAATTGGATTTGAATATCTGCTAAATCTTTAGGGTGAATAATGATGGCCTTAAAGGAGCAGATTCGTATATCTCGATTTTATGGACCTTCAGATGTGATCCGCTTTGGTGAATTGGCTTATCGTGGTTAAATTTCAGCACTAGCGCGTCAGATTCTGGGCGTATAAATTGATTTTCATACTGGTGTTGATTGTTGAGGATACTAAGCCCAGTATAAAGCCTTTGGTGATCTTCTCTTCCACGCAACACTTACTAGAACACAATTAATGATATATTGTGTGATAAAACTGCAAATAATGGAATTTGTGCTCCACTCTACATTTTAATCTCCATATAAAAACCAGAAAAGGAAGGTTTACACTTTATGAACCAGAGCTATCTTACAAATATTAGGGCATCAGGATAAGAAACAGGTAGCATTATTTAGGGAAAAATCAATTCAAAAGATTAAATATAGCTTCTCACTAGTATAACAAACATAAACATAGCATTTAAAATTTTGAGGATTAATGTAAGTTGAAATTCTCAGCTGACATCTCAATGGGAAAATAACATGACATCTGGATTCCAGATCACAAAGCAAGGGGGCAATTATTAATTTTGAAGTGTTGAACAGATAAAAACACACTTCACTAGGAGCAGGAAGTCACTGTAACATGAACAAAGAGAAAAATATCCAATATTTGCAGGCATAACTTGACAGGATGAAAGCAAAATACCGTATCCTTGAAGAACATATGAACATGACACTACTCGTAGATACTCTTCTACATGAGAGGCAAGAGGCGCTGCTCCAGACAAAATAAGTCGTACATTGCCCCCTAATCCCTGTTTTACCTGAAAGAGCACGCAAAAGAAATGCAAGTTGAAACGTGGAAGAATATAAACAAAGGTATAGCAGATCCATACAGCATAAATTCACTACCTTACTGAAAACGACTTTGTCACAGAGTGGAGCAGCTTTAGAATGTTTCAGTCCCTTCCTCATATTACGTAACTTGCTGCATCAATTTTAACATGCATATTAGAACAATAGAAAACTTAAATGGTTAAGGATTCAAAATAGACAACATTTCAAGTTGAAATAGACAGAGAGGATATTAAATAGTGTAAAAAAAATAGTCAGAAGTAAAAATTCGAGTTCAGTTTGAACTTCCACGTATTACTCTTCGTCCATCAAGAACTAAGGAAAGCTAAAACAGAACTTACTAAGAGTAGGCAAAATTAAACAATGTTTGTTTAATGAAACCCCCAGCAGCAATCTTCTGTTGCAAACCTGAAATGAGCACAGAAATCAAGGACAACAAAATGCACATATCAATCCAAAGAGAGAAATTTTTTGACTACTTTGGAGAACAAACAAGCAGCAAGTTGCCTTGTCCCTCCCAGAATACATGAATTTTCCATTCCAGATTTTAAAATGTCATATGCTGCTATTTTATTAGTTCCATTACCAATATCTAACTGCTCATTTGACAAGTAAATTATTTGCATGAGGATAGGCCACTGGATTGAACTAATATAGGTTAGAAACTGGATTTCATTGTCGAAGTAGGTTATCTACACTTAAAACAGTCAAAAAGCAATATTGTATCTAATAATTTCATAAAAATCATCTAATATCAGGACTATATTTTTCAACATTCCAAAACTGTGTACGAAAATATAAATATCTACTAATTAGTAATATTTTTATAAATCTGGATGAGCAAAACAAACCTGAATAAATTCTATCTAATACCCGAGGAACGGCGCATAAAACAGTAGGTTTTAGCTCTCCAATGTCTTCAACCAATAACTTAACATCCTGCAGATAAGTTAAATTAAAAATTTATTACATAAGCTCCAGTATGACTAGAAAAATAAATGTAGCTTTCTTACCCCACGCCAAAATCCTATTGAGGCCCCATGATTGATAAAACACTCTTCGATCACCCGATCAAAGATATGTGCCAAGGGAAGATATGATAGATACACATCATTGACAGTCAACTGAAAGATAAAATAGTAAGAAGTTGAAAATCCTACTCAAATGATTCGAAATAATCAATTAATTGCTGCTTCAACGTTTTGACTGAAATTGGTAGAAACATTTTAAGCCTCCGATTGAGCCCTGTTTTAAGGGGAAAACAGGTTATGTAATATTGATTGTTTGGAGAATGTGTGGTTAAATGTAGGAAAAAATTTGAGTTTACATGTAAAATTATTTAATTGGGTGCATGGTTGAAACTTGAAAGTAGGTTTGGGGAAATGAATTTTTATAAAGTGGGGCTGAAAGAGGGGCTAAATCTTATTCATCCACTTAATCCACGACAATGTCCCGAAAGTAAATATACGATAGTTACCGATTCTTCAACACTCCTTAGAAGGCGCTTTACTCCAGCTACCAGCGTAACAATACTATTATTTGAAATCATAACGCCCTTGGGGTCGCCGGTGGTTCCACTAGTATACATAATTGTACAAATGTCACTTTTCTTTTTCACTGGTAGATCAAACTGTTTATTGTCTCCCTGCAAAATGACAGAGGTGCCATAATGAGGTCAAGCAACAGGTAAGCAACCCAAACTAATTAGAAGAAAAAATGAGAAAGTAAATTACTAGAAGGGAAGGAAAAGACTATATCCAATCATATTGGATCAATCAACATTAGATTGTATCATTAAATAATGCGGTATACACAATATACCTTTATACACATACTAGATAAGAAAGTTAATACATTTCACAAACGCAAGAGATGCTACTAAGAGAAAGATTGTATTTGCTTGTTGTGAATGGTTCATGAAATAAGCCCTAGCAATCAAGATATGGTAGCAACTACAAAGCATAGATAAATTGGATTTCATTGTCCCCACTTCCCTGCATTATCACCCCATACCAAAAAAATTGAAAATTATCCCCCCCTGCATAAGTTGCAATTTGCAGTTGCACATACATCTTCAGTAAATTGCTTTTCAGTCCCCGTGTTTTATTTCTTGGCTGAACTCCCCAAAGGACATAAAAAATTAGAAAAGGAAATGTGGTAGAAAGACAGCCTTTAAAGGCAGAATTTCAAAAGTTAGCTACTTTCTTTCAAGTCACAAAATTTACTCGATTCCATCAATTATCATAAATATTATTGGTTGACTTAACAGATACTGTTGAAATGGAAGAGAAATGAGTTAGATATTTGCAGCAAGCACATGAAACAGGGTGTTTTCCAGATAGAAGGTAATTTATGAATTACAAATTTAGATTGACAAATAACACAGATCGTCAAAACTTCAGTCTTTTTCTTTTCTAATGACTGTGCAAAATTATCAGGAACCTAAAAAATTCAGATCAAAATAACAATGTTGGTTCGCTTTCCCAATGGACCAGGCTATGTATCAGTGCTTAAATTTTCCATGTCAAGTTTAGGAGGAAATTGTCCTATATGATGTAAATAAACACAAAAATATGCATGATGGACAATACAGTAACTTTTTCAATCATTCTGCTAACAACAATTCTTCATGCTGGAAGTAGGACAACTGAAATGGATTTCAATCACTTAGTGATCAATCAAATTTTCCAGTGGCTTCTTCAGAGGAGAGAATGGAAATAAGAATTTTGTAATGGCTCCCCAGGAGAAGGACCAAGTATCCATGTAACCCATATACTCGAAGGAAAGAAAAGATCTTTGATAAGATTTCACATACAGTTGCAGCTCCTAAGCTACAGCAACATGCTTCAGTATTTAAAAGTGATAAATAGTAAAGAATTCAAAATACAATAATCAAATGTTCTGTTTTGTTTAGCAGATTGAAAAATGGGGAGGAAAATACGGTCTCATTCATGCATTATTGACATTTTTCGAGGGCATAAACAAGGTTCAACATACCAAATAAATATGATATTATAATCTTCCCGATCAAAGTCGACAGAGATGCTTAATTTCTTCAGAAAAGAATCCATAACAGCTCAAGCAAGCCTCTAACTACTGGTAAGAGAGCCAGACACAAGCCAACCACTCAATGCATAATGCCTTATTTCAAAATTTCCCCAAAGACACCATAAAATAATGAAGCAAAATTATCTAACTTCAGTGGCATGTAATATCAAAAAGAAGCAAAGAAACTTCTGCAAATTTCTGAAGTTATAGATGAGAATGCGTCTTTAAACTCGGCTCATATAGTTTATATTCCTATTTTCCAACAATTTCGTCTTCTATCCTCTCTTATTTGACATCTCGTATGCAAGTTATATTAACTTTACACTTGTATATCAATCTACTAGATTCAAGGATTTTCTTGTAAGTGTCACTAAATTTTAAGGTCCAATGCTAGATCTATTATCCCAGACTAACTACTTTACCCATCTCAGTCCATTAGATTGCAGAAACCTTTACTTAAATTTCAAGAACTTAGGCCCCAAAGTTCGTGATGCTTATGCATGAAAAGAAATTAGGACAAAATGACTTTGATACTCATCATAGCCATGTTTCTAAGCAATAAATAGGGGCAACGGGAGGTGCAAACTGGACATGACCTAATGTTCAACCTCGTAAACAAAGTAGTCACCTTAAGTTTGAAATGAGAGTCGTATGGTAGTTAGCTGAGAAGTTTTCCCACTATACTTGGCAATGAGTGAAACAATCAAGAAAGAAATAAAAGGTTGAAATCAAAAGGCTTACCAATAACAAAAATTCATTCCAAGAATATATAGCAATGCCAAATTTTTTAACTTCTTCCCTCTGTTGAAAAGTGACTTTCCCAAAGCTCACAATAGCTGAAACAAAAAATAAATAAATAAAAGAAGTTTATGTTATCACTTTTTTTGCATTTAAATCCACGAAAAATAATGAAACAGAAATCTGACATTGCTGGTGACTTACTTCTTAAGTATTTTGTTGCATTGGGAAGGGTTTTCACCAGCTGCAGGGCAAAAAGTAGATGAATTTTGGCAAAATGTAAACAAATTCAAAACTCGATACCTTAAATATTGTCCTAAATACACAGAAAAATGTTAAAACTATTGCAGCCATAAAAATCCAGACAATTAATTGTTTATGTAGCTATCAGTAAAAACAGATAAAAGTGAAAACCATGAGTACATAATAAAATAAAAAGGGAACCATAAATAAAAATCAAACAGAAAAATTCGTTGTGCAATCAAATTCCTAAAACTTGATAACTGTACCTCGGGAATCTTCTTCTCTTCTACAAAAGCAAGTGTAACCTCCGCATGGCAAATAATGAACTCAATTGCACCAGCACCTAAACCATATACAATAAACAATTTATTCTCATTGGTATCTATATGGACATGGATAGTCTTCGTACATAAGAATCGGTCAAAATCCAGAACCAATAAAAACCTATTATCTTGGCCCTCCTGGGTGATAACATTACAAAGACAACCTCACTAAAGATAAAAGCCTATTTGTCTTGTGATATGTCAGAGGAACATATCAACTGATTATGAGTGCATAAATAGACAGATGCATGCAAGAGAAAGGATGATCCATACCTAAGGTGTCATATAAGGGAACACAGTAAAGTCCATGAGCGTTACATGCCTGCATTAATTTGTTGGTGTTAGAAAATTACAGCAATATCCATACAAGATATTCACATCGACAATTTCATTGACATCTAAGGCAGAAGAATTTACCACAAAATCAAGAGATTCAGAGAGGGGAAGATGGAAAGAAAAACAGAAGCAGAGAAATGGAATAAGAGAACATATATGGACACATTTTACTTACTTCTTCATGTTAAAGAAAATTTTGAAATATATACATGTCTGCTCTGGTGGTCCTTGTGTAGTGCATCAGTTAACCAGAATTTACAACACGCAGAAAGATAAAGGAGAGAGGAAAATGGGTAACAAGTGAACGGAGCTAATGAATCCACAAAAGACATGAGCTTTATGATAAAAAAAAACAAAGGAAATTATAATCTGCGGAAATGCAAAATTTAAGAACAATAAAGAACAGGACATTTATCCATATTCTATTTGGAATAGATCAAGAATTGGCCCCAAATTGATTGGTAAACAACATCAATTGACAATATACAATGATCCTGAGGGACGATAAAATAGCTCCCTTAGGTACCATTTCAAGTGATAAAATAGCTCGGATCTATAGGAGGTTAACTAACCAATGTTGAAATACATGAGCAGAAGCAATAACAATCTTCTGCATTTCTGTGAACATTCCATAACTTAGTTTATTTGAATGAGTGATCAATGTGTGCGATACCAAATACGAGCCAGTTTACAGATATTCAGATAATATATTTAAAAAAAAAAAAAAAAAGAACAGAAAAGTAAGATCGTAAGAGAAGAACTGAAAACTATGAGAAGACATAATAGAATAGTTTATTAGAATTAGTTCATGTGACTCATAAAATAACAAGGACCTGAAGGACTACGGAGGTTATTTCTCGCACAGTTGATTATAACATGTTTTTTCTCTCATAATGATACTTACAACATGCTGCTTACATATGCACACATTCAGAGAAAAGGGAAGAGCAGAAATAGTAAAAAGAGAGTACCTCCATACTCATAATCCACTCTGGGCAATTAGCGCCATAAATACCACATCGGCCTTCCTATAATTGTTATTAAATTGAACAGAAAGTGAGATATTAAGTTTTTTGCATGTCAATTAGTATTTTATAGAAGACTGAACCTAATCAACTTTAATGAGTCATACCAGGCAGAAGTCAAATAAATCAACATAAAGAGAAACAACAAAAATTAAAAAAGAATAGAGAATACAATGTCACAACTCAGAAATCTAACAACATTTGCCAAATAAATATTTATATAACCCGTAAGCAAAGTTAACAAACCATGCTATATTTGGCAAATGAAGTACCAAGATATGACATTGAAAGTAAGAAAGTGAACCCGACATAGCTGGTTGTCTGCAAGGTAACTTTGAAATAACTTTTTAATGGTAGATTCTTCAAAAAAACTTGGGTACGGGAAAGCCTATTAAGAAGACTATGCGTCTTCATAGTGTTTGAAACTGGGAAAGCTAGCCTGATAATATGTACGACAGAATGACAGACATAAAATGACATTAGAACAGGAAAAACCCAGAAGAAAAAGATTGGCAATGGCGATTTAATTCAGATGAAGCATCCCAAGTCTTTTCATATTCTCTTTCATGCTGCGTAATTTGTAGTTGGATCCAAATGGGTTGATCATCTGCTTTTACATTGTGAAGTTGCATGGATGCTACATGGAGGATTATTGCATGAAGTAGACTTAGCTTCATTTATTCCTCTAAATGTAAATTGGTTTTTGTTTGGGAAGAAAGGCATAGTAATGTTGCTGTCCTTCAGGGTGATATAGAAAGAGAGCAATTGCAGAATTTTGAAAGAGAGAAGAAAGATATTCTTGAGTTATGGGAATAGACAAAATTCTTGTCATTGTTACTTATGGGCCTCAACATCTAAGGCATTTGTTCTCAGTTGGAAATAATTCTTCATGATTTCAAAGGACATCTAATCCCACCATGAATAATGAATATAGCCTTTTCATTAATAGAATTTCATTTCTTATCAAACACAGAAGACAGACTAGAAAGCAGCTATGAGAGAAAGTTTTGAGACACACTAGATAACAACTTACTTCCTCAATGCCGCAGCTGCGAATGGAGTTCCCAACTTTGACCACTAAGTCATATACTTCTTGGTAAGTCATCCATACATATTTATCGGGCTGTAAGTAAAAGCAACAACTCCAAAAATTAGGTGTAATACAAAACAACCACAAACTATGAACTAAGTCTTATATACAATAATTGGGGGTAGCCATGAATCCTTTCTTGCCAGTCCGCATCAAATGAAAAGGGGGGAAAATAAGTAGGAAGTCAATGTTACAAGCATGGATGCATAAATTGCTTCTACCATGCAATCTACCTTTCCATCAACGATCTCACGACGACCAAGCATTCGGTTATTTGGATATTTATCTACTGACAAACTGTGACAGAAAAAAGTTGAGTTCAATCTATGTTCAACATAAAAAGTGAAATGAAAGGCAAAGAGGTATAATTCAAGCAGTATATTTATGCAACCATACTATCAAATCAACTATTGGAACTAACTCAAGCAAGCTAATTAATCCTTCTTTTCTTTTCAATGGTAAACACTTGACTTGCTGATGCAATAATGCATAAACTAGGGCACTAACACATAGGGGAATAAAAGCGTACACTGATTATTCCAACAATTCTCAGAAAAATAGAAATAGGAAAGTATATACATTTTGGCTTGGTAGCTCATCATCGATATGAATTTGATTTAATGGTTCAGATCCAAGGTAGCCACTTGAGGTGAAAAGTTCGTGGGGCATATATGTGCATCAAAATCATCAAACTGGGGTATATCCTTATTTGTGCAGTCAAGATCATGGCTTTCATGCTAAAAACTTCCATATTCATCAAAATCAATTTTCCAAAACACAATTTCTTTTTGCTCCTATACATTTAACATATATATGCACATCAAATTGTGGTGTATACATATTGTGATATATATGTGCATCAAATTCATGTAAGTGTGGTATATCCATATTTGCGTAGTCAATTTTGTAGCTTTCAAGTTGAAAACTTCCATAACTCCATCTAAAGCAGAAACTTCAGTTTTGAGTGATGCAGCGGATAAAGACAAACTTTAACCAGTAGTAACTCAGATCTTTTTGTCAAGTCTGTGCAAAATCAATTGCAAAATTCCATATTTTACACATCAAATCTTGACATCTTATAAAAGTCAAACCTGCAATGAGACGTAATAACAGGAAGGGGGGGGAAAATAGGAAAAATCATTAACAGATTCAACACACACACTTCAAAATACCTCTCCACAATTAAACTTCGAATCCAAAACATCAAAATACGAAAATGAATTGATAAATGTTGAATAAAATTATGCAAATAAATCTCCAAATCACTTTTCAAATAAACTCGAGAACACAGAGGGTCAAAAAATTCACCGGAAAATATCCCAGCAGCAGTCAAGTCCTGGAATCGGCTCCGGAAATCCATCCTTAGCAAAAACACTTCGATAAACTGGTCCCATCGGTGGCCTAGCTTCCTTTGCTGGTTCCACTTCAACTATAAAATTCTTTCGCGGCATTTTTGATCCTTGTTTCCCTCTTTACAAAAAATACGTATATATATGTAACTATGTGTGAAAACTTGAACGATGACGAGATTTGATTGTAAGGACAATCAGGTGGTAGAGGGAAGAAAACAGAGACCACGATTTCTGCAGAGAGAGAGGAAATCGTTTGCGCAGGCAGTAATTGACTCGAAGAGAGAAGAACATGTGGGCGTGCTACTTGGACAAATCTCTGTACAAACGGGGGGCGATGTGGCGCACTATTGGAAAAGGAGATGTCCAAGAAGAAAAGTTCGAAGTACATTACAATAGCATATGTACGGGAAACTTTTGCTCGAGGTCACTTCACTTAAATATTTGTTTCATGTTAGCTTTCAAACTTCAATTAATTTCAAAATAGTCGGTTAACTTAAAACTTTTATTTCAATTTGATCATTACATAGTAGCAGCCTAAGTCACGCTTAAGAAATGAATGCGTGATATTAATTGAATTTTGCCCCTATTTGATGTAGTTAAAAATTAGATATTTAATAAAATTTAATAAAAGTTGATGAAATAAATAATTGAAAAGTTAATTGTGGATTCGTGAAATATATTATTAAAATTGATTATTGGCTATGAATTAAATTTTTGACAAATTTTAATCTACACTAAATAGGGACGAATATTTTTCCTAATGTAGAAGTTCTTTACAATATAAAAGTTTAAGATTTTCTTTATGAGTAAACTAAAAATGAGTTTGGACTTTAAATGAGAAAAAGTGAAGGGTCAAATGGTCTAATTGATGCCAATCTCGAGGTTGAAGTCTTGGTCTAATTTCTTGCTTTTCTGATTAAAGAGAGATGCTAGAGTGAGAGAAAAATGATTAACAGACAATCTGATCGACAATCACAAAATGGGGGGCCTACCTTTTTTGGACTTTTAATTTAGGTGGGGCTCGTAGACATGTGAGAGGTGGTGCCTCCGCCTCTCACAACATTTTTTTGTCACCAGGGCTTAATTATTGATTAAATTGGTGAGGTTGATTCTTACTTTTTACAACATTGCTTAAATGGTGAAATAATGCAAACTCAATCCACATTAGATATTCTATCAGACATATCACGAAGACTTGAGAAGTGGTCAAATTTAAACAAAATTATAAGTTAGCTGACCACTTTAGAATAAATTGAAGTTTAGTAACTAACATGGAATACACCTATAAATCGGGTAACCTCCAATAAAAATTTCTTTTGTATATAATTACACGTGTGGAGAGGGGTCTTTGTTGAGGGACCCATGAGGGTGGAGTTGAATATTATGTGGACAGAAATATAGGTAGTGTGGGGCCCGCCAACCCGTTCAGTTTTGGGGTAGGGAGATTGAAGAATTGTCTATATATTCCAGATTATCAAATTTAGATAGTTAATGACATTTGAAAGAGAATTATTCTTTGTGCAAAAATTCAATAATTTGGTCAAAGTCAAATCGTATTGACTGAGGTAGGGCTTGTTTGGTACCGCCGGTTTGTCATAAACTGTGACCAAATTACTCCTTTACTTTTATTATTAAAATATTTTGTACTTTGACATTACTTCTAGATAAGTAAAGGTAGTTTATTAAAATATATTTTAAGTTATTGAAGATAAAAAATTTTAGGTCTTCGCTATCCATGTTTGTGCAAATCGATTGTTTTTTTTGAGGGGTGATGAGGACGGAGGTACCAATCTTCGAACATTTGACCTTAGTTGTAAAGCAACAATTCTTAATCAATTGGGATAAGGTGAATTAATTGCGCGGATCGATTGTTTACTAATAATTTATTTTTTATTGTTAATTAAAAATGATTTTCAAATTTAAATTTGTTTATTTTCCATTTCAGAATGCTATCACTGAATGGATAGATTTTTACATATCCAATCGGACACGAATTATAGTGATATGATTTATTTATGCAGTAAAATGCAATTTTGGTGACACTGAAAATTTCAATAAACTTTGTCTGTTTACAACATGATTGAAAATATTTAACCATTTCTCCCATTTTTCAATCTAATCATTGTAGTTTAGATTAAAACATCAAACAAAAATGGATTTGTATAATTTTTTTAATATTATACCCCCATTTGAACCGTATTAAATTGATAAAGACTGTTTGGTAGTGATTATGAGAATTATTATTTTGACCGTTAGAGAGAAAAGTAAATCCAATCTATGAGTGTAAAAGTAAAAAATGACAATTGAAATAATGAAATAACAGTAAAAAAGATTGATTTTTTGAGGTGAAAAATTACCAAACAAGGGCATAATATATTATTATTTCTCTTCTTTTTAATTATACATTCTTCAATAAAATAATATTACACATAAATCAAAAACTCACATAAATAAAAAAAAATCCTTCTTTTCAACCATACATTTCAAAAAAATATTGTTTTAAAAATTAAAATATCAAATAATGAGGGCCAAGCGGGGTGTATATCGTTATGAAGGTTCTATTGACTTTCAAAAAGGAAGAAGGTTCTACTAGAAAAAGAAAAAAAAAATAAATAAATAAATTATATTGAATTATATATTAGAAAAAGCACATAATGTAAATTAAATGCACCCGTTTCTAGTTGTTGCTTATTAAAGTCAAGTCACTCTCAGTAATCTACGCTACCAAATTGAAACATTACGTTAAAATCTCCACAAAATAATATTATCAAATCAAGAATCTTTATTACTTTAACGGGATATTGATTTATTAATAAATGTAAATTCATTTTAGTTAAAATATGATATATGTCGAGCACTTTTGTACTATTTGAGTGAAAATTATATGATAACTAGTCACTGTCACGTGCATTGCACGAATTTTGTATTATCGTATTTTTATTAGCATATGAATTTTAATTTTTTAGAAAGTTTTGGAAATAATATCTAAAAATATTTCCATGATATAAGAAAATGATTGTAAATTATTTTTACAATTGTAACAGTATTGTGTTATCTAGAAAAAATATGATTGTATATTTCATGCTTGAATAAAGAAATGTACGAGGTTATACAAATTATTTTGTCTGTATTCTTTGATATTGTTGATATGATTGAATTGAATGTAACGATTATATTTCTAAATTTTGTGTAATTTAATATTGGAAAATTGAAGATTGAGCACAAAATTATAAATCGACTTGCTTATTCATATGCGTTTTATATTTTGTCCTTCATATATTTTAATATTTATTTTATGCTTATGTTGAAAAAATAAAAATCTGAAATATTTTTCTGATATTCGATTTGGTAAGTGAATGTATGGTGTACTGCATTCTAGATATTTGTAAGTGCAAAAATCGATATATACGGTAAGCTGCAAATACGGTAAATTGCCTGCATATACGGTAAGCTGCAAATACAGTAGACAGCATATACGGTATTAAAATTTATTGTAGTGGACGAAATCGGATTCATTTATATAGTATATGCACTTTACATACCGTATATGCAACATATCGTATTTACGCATACCATATTTGTATCATACCGTATATACAGCATACCGTATTTACATCATACTGCATTTACAGCATACCATATTCACACATATTGTCTTTAGATACTGTATTTGGCATATATTTATTTTTTTACATACCGTATATGCAATATATCGTATTTGCAGCTTACACTATACGCAGCAAACCGTATTTACAACATACTGCATTTGCAATATACCGTATTTACAGTATATCGTATTTACATCATATCGTATATATAGGATATCGTATTTAAAGCATACCGTATTTGTATCATACCGTATTTACAGCATACCGTATTTGCACATATTGTCTTTAGATACCATATATTGGCTCATATTCAATATTGTTTTCTTTTTTATAATTTTATTTTCGAGAATTTAAAAAAAAAAAGTGATTGTGAAATTGCTAATTTTTAAATGTGTTTTTAGTTGAAAATAAAAAATATTTTTTCATGCTATTTTGAAAAAAAAAATTATTGTAAATTTATTAGCCCTCTTTCACTGAAACTTAATTATAAGAATCCACCAAAACTAAATTTCTACATTAACTTTTCCAGTAGTTTTGGGAATTATTGAAGAAATGTAAACTATATTCTTGACTTTCAAATGCTATCCTTTGAAACATTCTGATCTATGTAGATTATTTCGTTATGGTAAAAATTTCACTTTGGTCAAGTATTATTTCGCTGTTCAAAATAATTAATCTACAAATGCATATTATCTTTCATATGAGAATTTAAGTGAATAAATTAGAATTTTGGTGGAGAATTGTTACATATATGAAATTACAATAAAATTAGATTTAGAGCTTGAAGAGAGTTTTTGTATCCTATATATATTATTTTCTTGTTTAAAGACTTATTATATATTGCTCTCTCTTGAAAGAATCTCAGTCAGCTGGACAATAAAATGGAACTACTTTGTCAGGGGAGGAAGATTTTTCAATCGGTTCAGTCATAAAGGGAAGTCAGGTCAGAAGTAAGATCATTAGTGCTACTATTCTGGTCGAATTTATGATTATTTTTCATATAATGCAAGATTATTTAATAAGCAATAAGGATTAACATTAATTAGTTAGAAATAAAATGTACTTATAGGTAAAAACACTAAGTAACGAACTTTTAAGAAAAATGTTACCATTTGCTCCGAAGGTAAGCCTTGTAGTTTTGTGTTGTACAGAGAATTGGGAAATATAGTGTTGAAGTATTAAGAAAAATATGTTTTGTTATTGTATGACATATGGAACATGGTCTTGTATTTATGCTTATCATAAGAAGATGATCTATTAGACAAATTTTTGTAAATCACTTTAGAAAACTTCCTACTCAATTTTGAGCAAATTATAAGCATGGAATAATTTTACATAGTAAAAATTATGTTTTTCAGAAAAAAATTTATCTTTCCAGTCATCTTGAGTTATAATTTTGTCTCTTTTTCTTCTCTTTCTTTTTTAATGTTTTCCTCTTTTGCTTCTTTCCTCCATTTTTAGAGTATGATATTGTATAAATTTAGGTACATTATAAAATCGAGCAATCTTACCAATCCAAGAAATATTTAATTTGACCTGAAGCAAGATATGAATGAGCTTAAGATACATTAGTTTGGTAACTTGCTAGTAGAGTTCACGAGAAATTGTAACAAAATCGTAGAACAGAAGTTAGTACTTAGAGTTTGAACAAGTAAATTAGTTTCATCAAAGTATCTGAAAGGACGATCGACTTGATTTCTCGATGAGTTTCAACACAATAATAAAGT